TTCTCTCTCTCACTTCACACATCACTTTTTTTTTCCGTCAATATTCTAAAAAAAAAAGTGACGACTTTCTCTATCATTTGAATTAACAAGTGGAGTTTCACCTTGAAATTATCTTATAATTTGTTGTTTCTATTCATAAGAATTCATGCATTCAGAAAGATCACTTTCTTAGTTTATGTGCTGCTGGAAGGTAAAGCTGTACGTATTTTGAGCCATTGTTTCATATTAAAAATGAAGAATGAAAAATACAAAGCAGACTCAAACTGAGAACACTCGAGTTATTAAGAAAAAAAAAATAAATATGTGGCTGCACGTAACACTTCTTAATAAAATAAAAATCATGTTAATTAAATTGATACTATTGCGAAAAGAAAAAGTACTGTCAATATAAAAAAAGAAACTTTTTAGTAAGTAAAAAAATTAAGAGAAATAGTTTCTTAATGTTCTAAAATAACTTTAACAATTCTTCATCGCAACAATAGATTGCAAAGCTCTTTCTTATAGTAAAAACAAACAATCGGATATTATGTTGTCTTCATCTTCGTTCTTTTTTTCCATTTCCGTATTGCCATGAGTTAATATCGATGCACAATGAAGAGTTATTTCAAAAGCAACTTGATCATTTGAAAAGAAATGATAGAGTCTTTCATTGTTAATAAGAAGTCCTATGTCTGCAAGAATAAAAACAATAAAAAGACATCATTTAGTATTTGTTATCAAACCCTACGAAGATTTAGCCAATGTTGGATCTGATTTTTGTTTTGAGATAAGTTATAAAATGAGCAACACAGTTTATCGTAATAATGATCCATCCAATGGTCGTGGCCATTGCATTTTCGTCGGCATTCTAAATCATTATCTCGAAACTGCAACAGTATTGTCATTATATCGGCACAACATATCGTGGTGTGAATATGAAAAAAAAACAGATGTAGATAAATATGAGAAAGATTAATTTATTCTGACGCGAACTTTCTTGTCTTCGTCAACTTACAAAGATGTTGCGCCAACCGTTCTAATTGATCTTCCTCTCGGTCTAAATTCGAAGTATCGAGTCATATGTACTTATCGCATGCAAAATCCGTGCATAGCCTTTGATGTACACACAATATCGACGCATCCGAGCGAGAACGAAATCCTCATTGTTCGATTCACGACATTCCAAATTACTAGTATCAAGAAAAAACTTGATGACATAAGATATATCCAACTCGACGAGTATGGCATTGACAATGCCGAATCGATCTTCACTCAAACATATTAATTCACCTTATAATATTTTATAGGTTAATAACAATAAAAATAAATCAAATGTCTGGGGTGTGGGTGTGGGTGTGAACGAATAGAAGATACAGACTCATACCCACACCTATCTGGTCAAGAATTGAATTCTTTCATGTCCATTCCTGGCTCATGAACGTTTTCTCATGTACGTAAAAAGATATCGAAAGAATCTTGGAAAAAGCAAACGAGAGAGAGAGTTTGAATAGATATTATGGAAGGACGAGTGAAAAGTGGTACATTCATCTGATATACATTTTCACAGTTAATTTCATCCATCAACACTAGCATGCTGCCCATCGATGCGATTGGTAAGACATATAATATTAACATTTGATGATAATACAATGCCTGTTGTTTTATTCCATCGATGATAAATGTTCAAAAAACGACTAAAGTGTATGAACCAAAAACATCCGATTTCAGTGTTCTCAGTGAAAAATATGGATCGCTATATGGCGAATACGATGTTTTCTCTTAGGGAAACCATCAAATATACACTGTATAGTAAAATATATGTACCATCATGATGAACAGTGACGTTGAACAAAAACCGGAATCTTCCACAATTCCTCATGAATTCCACTATGTTCATTTAGTTCTTCTATCTTATCCAGTGCTTTTGTTCTAGTCATGAAACTAAAGAGAATAAACGATTGAATGAATGCATCATGTAATTATGTATCAATTGAGCAAAAACAAAAGAGACGATTAAAGAAAAAACGGCATGCGCATCGACAACGACATGGAACACAGGTATGGTCTATCTTGAGATTAAATTGTTAGTATTGAATAAGAAACCAACTTCAAGTTATTGATCTTTCGTATAGATCGTATCAACAAATATTTGAATTCATCATTGGATTTGTTCATGGTTCTGCTTTGAACTTCCCAACGGTATTTGAATTTGATCTTTTTGATTCTTCTTTAAGGCAATTGAAGATCTTAAGTCATCTGATGATCGTCTTTGCCGACGTGAAACTAGTTATGGTAGCTGTTCTCATCCTGTTATTTGGTCATTTGTATCATAGTTACCATGGCCATTTTGACTGCGCTACCGACAAACAGGTACAGGTGAATTTCGGTTTCTAGACCCTATCCTTTCAGTCTAGGGAATACGAAAAAAGTTGCTCTTTCCGTCTTCTGAGAAGCATTATAGTGGAATAATTACTTTTTATTATACTAAAGCGCAGTTTTCTAAAGCTGAAAACTTCATTTTCCAGGAATCTTTCGAGTGAGAAAGGCTGAATTAGTGCAGATAATCAGTATCAAGTGCCAGCTATATCTATACAAAATATTAAGTTGATAATAGCAATCGTTAAAAGAATTGTTCTTGACATTCTTTTTCTATCTACTGTGCGGAAGGTGAGAGCTGAATGATGACCAGAGAGAAAGTAACTTTGTGAATTCTCTCTTCATGTTCATCAATAAACAAAAAAAAAGAATAAATAATAAATGAATAGAAATAAGACAACACTGAACAAATAGCTTATAAAGAAAGACATAAGCAAATATATATATATATCGATAGTAAACAAACAAATGTTACATTTCTATTGCGTCGTACGAGGATTTTTTCTTATAAGAATAAGAAATTCCTTTGTATTTTTTTGAAGGTAATACAAATACTGCAAAGATAAGTAATGATGGAACAAATGAAATATAATAACCAATAAAAAAAAAGCCATGGATCATGAGTTGATTCCATACATTTTGATAAGAATGATATTATTAAACGAGGTAAAGCTAATAGAATTAGAATACATGGTGCAATAATAAGATGTTTGTGTCGATTGATTTGAACATAAAAAAGAGTTTTATTTTTTACTTTCTTTTGCGTTTTTGTTCAAGTTTTAAATTCTTTAATAATGATAATCAAACCAGATAGAAAATTAATTATAAATGGTGTTAAAAAATGAAATAGATTAATAAATCTATCAAATATTTTCAATTGAAATGAATAATTAACAATGCACCATGTTCTTTGTTCATCTTCATCATCAAATAATTGACGAGATATTGGATCATGAATATAAGTAAGAATTGTTAAAGAAAATATTATTGGGATAACACGTTTAGCTATATATCGACTTTTTAATTTATTAAATTTAATTCCTTACATACTAGTAATTGCTCGTTCAATAGCAACACATGCATTTAACCAATCACCTGAACTAAGAAACATTTTTAATAACATATCAATTAATAAACAATTCATATCAAGAAATGAACGATTTGTTATAAGATTCATTTGAAAAAAAATAAGTTGCCAATATTTTATTGTAAAAATAGTTATTGTTAATAATGATATAATTGATGTTGTTAAAAGATAAATTCCACAACCAACCATCATCGAAGATTTTCTTCGAAAAATTAATATTGATAATAGTCCACTAATGACACCAATTATAAACATAATAATTGTTAATATTACCGTTATTTTAACTGATTTTGATTGTTTAAAAAATGATTTTCAACACATGGAAATTGATAATATTTTATTCGATGAAGATAGTTATAATTAAATATTGTTGAATTCAACAGTTTAGATACATTTACACACATATTATCAATATAAATATCATCTAATGGAATAAATTCTTCTCTTAAAACAGTTAGATAAGAGTAGGGGTGTGAATTTATTGTTATTGTTATTAATAACAATAACATTTTTGTTATTGTTATTGATAACAATAACTTTTTTGTTATTTGTTATTAATAACAATAACTTTTTTTTGTTATTTG